AGTTGTTACTGTGGATTAAGGCTTTCTCACCAGGAGGACTTTCTCTGTGCGCGTCAGTGGTAGCCAGTCTCACCTTCATCATGTAGCAAGTGGAGTTCCTCAAAGCTCTGTCTTGGGGCCAGTGCTGTTCCTTCTGTATACAAGTGACCTGCCCGCATTGATTTCCTCCACATGTTCAGCTTATGCCGACGACACCAAGATTTACAATACTGTCGTAAATTCTGCTATGCTTCAACGAGATCTTGATATTGTTTGTCAATGGTCAGTCAGTTGGCTTTTACCCTTAAATCTAACTAAGTGTTGTGTCCTTCACCTCGGGAAGACAAATCCGCGATTTACATACAAGATCTCTGACCACAACATCGAAGCAGTTTCCAGCCACTCTGATCTGGGCGTTGTAGTCAACGATCGTCTTTCCTGGTCAGAGCATATTCACCACGTTACATCAAAAGCCAAGAAACTTCTATACATGCTGGAGAGGTCTTTCAAAGGATCCGATGTCAACACTTGCGCCTACATTTTCAAGGCATTCGTGAGGCCAATTCTTGAATTCGCTGGCCCGGTATGGGACACTGTGCTTCTGCGCGATAGAAATCTCGTCGAATCAGTACAGCGTCGGGCTACTCGTATCCCTTTTGGAGCACGAAGACCAAGCTATGAAGATCGCCTTGAATTATTCAACCCGACCTCATTCTCTGAGCGAAGACTTCGTGGCGATCTTATAGTTACATTCAGGATACTTCATGGTTTGATGGGCACCAACCTCATGCATCTATACCGTCTGTCGCCCAGCAATCTACGCGGACACAGCTTCAAACTGCATAAGGAGCCATTTAAAACAACAGTCCGACAGTAGTTTCTTCCCAACCGCATATTCAACACCTGGAATAGTTTACCTGAAAGTGTGGTTGGTGCTACTTCAGTTAATAGCTTCAAAGTGCAGTATGATAGCTGGAGGAGTGTACAAACTTTATAGCTATGAACTGTCTTTTTTTATTTTTTTCTATTTGATGTATTTGTGTTACATGTCCGTACACTATATTTACTGCATGAGCTTATAGTACTGTGTACTCTGCTCATCTCAATTATCATAGTACTAGTAATAATAGTAATATAGTAGAGGAAAAAATAAACGAGCTGTCACTTGCAAGACGTGGAAGCCTGGAGTTCTACCAAACTAAGGCCCGTATCGTCAGTCGTCCCTACAATTGTAGGGCGCCTTTATGGCCTCGTTGATTGTCATAGTTTTCTAGTTATCCGTGTCAGCGCTCTATTTTGAGGTTATGTCACAAACATCTATTTGCATCAAATTGTGCTTGCTTTTGAGTTATATCACGTTTTATCAGCCTGAAATTTCCTACAATTTAAAAAGAAAACATATCTTCACAATAGGAGAGCGCTGACGCTGACCCGGGACAAGTGTAATCTAGAAATTTTTGAAGGAGAGAAAGGAGTATGACAATCAAGGAGGCCATAAACGCGCCCTACAATTGTAGGGACGACTGACGGTACGGTCCTAAAATATCTAATTTCAACGGATTCTGTCCTTTAAAAGTCAATAATAAAACACTTTTTCAAATTGACGTTGAATGTTGGTAAGAAAGCGACGACACGTAAAGATAAATATCCGCGCTTATCTCTTGGCGGCAAACGCAGCATCTGAGCAGTCCCCACATTAAATCATAAGCCGAGCTAACGAACTGCCTGTCTGCAGGGCTCATTTGCACCGGCACTCGACTTTGACGGTTTAAAATACAGACGCGCTCTTAGTTTAATTGGGATCCTCTACCTCTCTTCTCTTCATTCTTCTTTCCTCCAAAACAGGAAGGATTGCTGGCTGGCGCCTCAGTTCGCCGAAAACGCCGGAAGTTTTTCGCCGGATGTGATAATGACAAAGACGCAAAAACGACGATATTGACGGGTTATGGCACGTTGATTTTAATGAGCAGAGTGGTGCCGCCTCTTGAATGCGTTATTTTAATCCAATGGAAAAATGCGAACACATGGTGTTCATTTGAAAACCTTCCACCACGGATTTATCGAAAACCACTGATTACAAGAAAACACGCCTAAGTACTTGTCAAGGGGGACAACTTTTTAACCAAAAGCTACTTCACCTCCTTCCACCCTCGACCTCCCCCCCCCCCCCCCAGGGTCATTTCCTTGAAAACTTTAAATGACAAGAGGTATCGAGTAACAGCTTGTTTGAAAGGTCTTTCAAAGTCCTTTATTTTGACGGTTGATTTTTTAAAATCATTCGATTCGTTTTTGAGAAAATTATAGAAATCTTTATTTATCTTAATTTGTTCAGATAGAAAACAAAAATAGACGAAAATATCACTTTTTATTTCAATAAGTGTTCAAAATGTTGCCCGTTAGGGTTTGCCAAATCTACAATTCGTATATAATTTAAAACGGAAACTACCAACATAAACAGCAATTCGGAAGATTAGACGAGACAACAACCAAATAACAACCCGATTTTTTTCCCCCATTCTTTTCATCAACACAGATAGCCTGGACGAACTGTATTTATTGTTATACATGTTTAGTTATTCGTTGTTAAGGGAAAGGAAGGATTTAATTTGCTGTCAGTTACCTTTGTGACAATCTTGGGATAGTGAAACTTATTGAGTCAAATTTTACTTCCAAAATGGTTTACACAATAACCGAAAGAGTGAAAATGATTCTAATGTATGGTGTCCAAAATCAATGTACTCGGCAAACTGCCATCACGTTTAACGCCAGACACGCGGGGAAGATAACTTCGCACAGGTATGTTTTGGACTTACTCAAACTGGATGTGTTGCAAATAAAAATCGTGATCATCGGAGAGTTTTGGATGAAGTCGCCCAAGTTGAAGTTTTGGGTCATTTTGGAATAAATCATTACGCATAATTGTTGCTGCGACTGGTATTTCATTAAGCTCTGGACACGCAGTTACTAAACTCCATGAATTTCATCCTTTCAAAATGAAAATATTGCGAGAGTTAACCGAAGATGATTTCTATAGGCGAGTTGAATTTTGTGAACAAATGACGCAGCGATTAATGGTAATACCATTCATGTAAAGAATATCTGCCTCAGTGATGAATGCACATTTTATCTAAATGGATTTGTTAATCAGTATAACTGCAGGTACAATCTATCTGCTTGCGCTCATGCTCCGGCATAAAAAATGCTGTTCGGAGCTTCTATCTACGTATATAACAAGGCCATCCGGAAAAAGAAATATAGACAACTAATGCTCAGAAGCCAGCGAAAATTGGTGCTGCAGTTGGTATGCGCTTACAGAACGGTGTCGACCGATGCACTGCTGGTGGCAGCTGGTGTCCCGCCAATTGATTTTCTGGCTGTGGAGAGATGCGCGCTCTATAAAAAGGGCGCTAAAACTAAAAGCGACGAAAGTAAGGCGCGTTTGTCAGATGGCAGGAGAGATGGAATGCAACCGGCCTTGGTGCATGGACTAACAGATATTAAAACTTTGATTCAGAAAAGAGCGATGCGGATAGATTACTATACTGCACAGCTCCTCACAAAACATGGTTGCTTTGAAAGCTACCTGAAGAAGTTAGGAAAGAGAGAGTATGCGAACTGCGTATATTGCAACGAAAAGGGGGATTCTACTAGTAATTTTTACTTGAATGTGAAAGATGGGCTGACTACCAGAGACAGCTGGATTGACACTCCGCGAGAGGCTCACTGCTGACAATTTTCCCAGGCATGATATTCAACCAATAGAGATGCAAATGATTCTGAGCAAAGTACTGGATGATAAAAAGAGACCGAGGAGTCAATAATAGGTTTTTACTTGTTGGGACGTATATGTACATATATACGTATAGGTGCTTATACATATGTACGATGATGAGAATAAGATGACTGTGATTGTGAAGTCGCTTCTGGAGGATCTCGCACCTCGCGCAGGTCTTTCCTGCGGCCAGTCTGTCTGTCTGTCTGAGATAGGCTATAAAAGCTTTCCTCAGTCAAAAAAGAACCATGAGTTTTAAGTGACCCATCTCGTACTGCTTCAAACTTCCTAGTGACGCCAACGTTTTTTTATAGTTTCTTTTTCATACAGTAGTTAAGAAGGATTTTATATGTAGTTAAAATACATTGATCGTTATAGCAGCTAATGATCATGACTACATTTGATATCACTTAAGAATTGAACAAATTATCAACTTTCTACTTCAATGGCAACGATGTCCAGCTTTGTTCCCGGTAGGCAACGCTTGTGTGGCAAATTGTCAAAAGTAGGTGGGAAAAAAGAGATTTGATAGAGAGTTTTTCATGAGTTCATTACGTATTTACGTCTATTCGCCAGTCATTTATCTCTGTCTATTTATATCCTTAGATGTTACCTGCACTCTAACTAGCGCCATCTAGGTTGCCAGATTTCTCCGCCGATAAGGAAGGGTGAGGAAGTTTTGTAATTGCGAAGAATTCGTGTCATGTACTTCACAAAAAAACATCGGTTTGTCTGTCGGTCTGGCCGCTAATCCTTGACCCCTCTATAACTTAGAAAGGCCGCTTGGGGTTTGATGAAAATTTGTATTCCAAGAATGAAAATGCTCCATAGTTTTTGATCCAGTGACGGAGTTACGGACAAACAAGTGGGAAAATAAAAATTGCTCAAACTTCGTGTTTGACATTTCAGAGGCTCCCGGGTGGGGTATAAACCACTCACCTTTGATACCAGTGAAATTCCTTTTATTATTGTGAATAAGCTTCTGATCCCTATAATATTACGCATTCCCTAGGTATAACAGGCTGACATATGTTAAAGGGCTGGTGAGTCTAACCATGCTACAGATTAACACGTAGTAGTGCAACAGTCCGATGACCACTATTCAGAATGTGTTGAAGTATCACAGTAAATAGCGTAATTCATTCGTCTGCAGGACCCCTCCTGCAATATTCTATTAATGGAAACATTCAACATATTACTTCGTGATAAGGGTAATTCTGGTAGAAATGACACACTCATAAATGCTGTGCGAAGAGAAATCTATTTTACTACTGTTAAAAAAAATCAGATTAATTAACACTACGAGATTCTGGTGTTCACTAGTCGTAGATTAATTTGCAAATCTTTCTTGTTTCTCTCTATCGTTCGCCTTTTTCACCTTGTAATTGCGATAAATCAGTTCCATTGCAAAAATAATGAAACTAATGCCTAGACCAATTCCAAATATGACAAAAGCAGCATAACAGTCAATAATTCCTGCACTTCCAAAGTTGCTTCCTTTCGAGTGACATACAGGTTTCTTCATATAGATTTTGTCTTCTTCTCTTCTTTGAATGCCTGATTCAAGGATCCTTTGAGAACTAAAAAATAATTAGCTTTAAATCAATGAAATTTATGACATTTCTGTTTAAAATGATTCTTAAATTTAACGAGTCATATTTATATGTTTATAATAATACCAACCCTATTTTCATGAACTCTTTGTAGGCAGACCTCTTTCTGATGACCATATGTGGATCCAGCATGTTAATAAAAGGTATCTCCTTCAAAGCACACTTTTGATTTTCCCTGAAAGTGTCAGCCACGATTTTATAAGCAACCGATAGTTCGGAGTGGAAACCAAAAAACTCATTGCGAACTCTGGATATGCCTTCTTCCAAAGACATGAATTTAGCCTTTTGTCCTTTGGGTGCTACTTTCTGTTGGTAAATAGCCTTTCGTATTGAGTCTTGAGCATGCTGCGAAAAATGCCTTCAGATTGCAAATTCAAATACACAGAAACATTTCGTATAGAGTGGCACGAATTCTTAAACTATTTTATTACTTATATTAGAATAAGATTAAATTCCACAAACCAAACTATCTACTCACCTCAAAATAATAATGATTATACACGACATCGTGAACTCCCAAGGTCATTCTGGAGTTTAGCAGGTCTTCTAGTGTTCTAATATTTTCAGTAGTAGATTGTAGGAGAGCTACAATGTTCGCCGAATAGGATGTATAAAGAAACATCAAAGAGATCAATGCTATAAAATAAGCTGTTCGACCTGCGCTACTACGAGGCTCTGTATCAGATCTGAAAAAATGCATCGAGAAAATTCTACCAATATTATAAGCTCATTCTTGATGTACTCTGTATATTGAAGTGGAAACATTTTTTCTCGTCAAGAATATGTCAATGGAATTTATTTCGTGAACTCTTATTCATACTTCTTACTCTTACTATAATATACAGGGTGTTCCAAAAAACGTGGCAATATTTCTAGGTCATAAAGAATCAAGGATAACACGAAAAGCTCTCATAAATATGGGTTCTAGAATGCTCCCTTAGATGCAGGGTGTTTCAATTTTGAAATCGGAAAAGCTATATGTTCAGAGTGCGCCCAAACAGCAAAGCAATACATACAAAGATGGCCATGCTTGAGACTACACCGGTGGCGTAGAAATATAGAGGTTTTGGCCCCTACAAAGGAAAAAAGAAGACTCTCAAAAATCTGCTACATTCTTGAATAAGGCATTCAATTTTATATGAGTCTCGTTCCACGAGAAATTTCTGTCAGACTACTATTTTTAAAGAAAAGTTGGTCTGAATAATTGTGGTGTGAAATCCATATAAAAGACTTCAACACGTTCTATTTTGAAAAGCCGCTGATGTTAATGAAGTTTAACATTGAATATTGCTTGTAGTGTATTAGGAGGGTAATTCTGGATCACCATTTCATCAGTAGCGAAGAAATTTACAGCGCCCTTCAGCTTGGTAATGAGACAATTTGGGACCTACGCTTATACGAACTCCTTTTCTTATTTTTGGATGGACCTCCTGCCCCAGAGATACTGCCAATTTTCTCTAAAACACCTAAAAGGAACACTAACCCTTGCTGGGTGATAGCACCTATCTCCATAACCGCCACATCCAATACATCAGGTCTTAGAGCAACATGGGACGTCTCTATTTTCTTTTTGAACACTGGGTTTTTCCACTCCCAGATGACGATGAAGTATATTACGACGAAAATAATGGCGCAAAGCACAAAACTGGAATGCCACACATGTGTATTGAAGGGTAAAGTGAAGATGTTGGTGACGTAAGAAAGCGGCGGTGCCCTGAAAATGAAATTTTGTCTAAAAAAATCTGCTTATGTAACATGATAATTCAGATATTATACTCATTCCTTGAAGCCCTACTATTACCTATTACTTTATTACATCTAGACCCACCTCTTCTGAAACAAAATTATACAATACCTGAATATAAATTTCATGAATGTTGGTGTCCAAGCAGGTATGTAATCTACGTAGTCTATTCGGTCGGGCGTATAAAAACATTGGGTACCTACAAGAAAATTAATTTATTCATATTGTTAAAATATGTGTAAATTCGTTTACTGGTAAACTTTACCTCCAAACTCAGAAGTTCCATTCTGCAGATCGCCCAGCATGCCAGAAAATTTGTTTGTCTCAAGATCACGATATCCCCACGTATTCACCCATCTCATATTTGCAGTTATGTTGAACATATTTAGAAGATGTCCAACTCTAATCCAATTCACTTTTGTTAAGGGATCTATATGTTTTTGTCTAAAAGAGATACGCCTTATTACAGTTGAACCAAAAATTTAAAAAAACCATTTCTAAACGCGATTTTTTACTTTTAGACACCATTATCTCAATATGTCTGTTTTTGAGTAAAAGTTACAGTTCGAAAATAGAACCACGAAATCTATCGACATAAAACACACAAAGCGCCATCTATGCTGTGTCTTCGTTCGTTGTCCCAAAGACTAAGCCTAGACCATCCTTATGAGTTGCAAAAAGCACGAAACAGCTGTGTGTGGTCGGATGGACGGAAGTAGCATGTCTTGTGGCTCAATGGCGATTGAACCACATTTACGATACTACCAGAAACATCAGCCTTTAGCGGTGACAATGGTGACTGGGCTACCAAACGCAAACTGAGAATGTTTATTAGCTGCTGCACGCTCTCTTCAGTGATCGATTCTGGTAATAGATGGCACGATGCGCTGCGTTATTCCGATAAATCTTATACCTCGGGTAGAGAATAGTTGCTACGAGTCCATTCGTTGACTCAGAAACCAAGCCTAGACCATGCCGATGAGTTGGCAAAAAGCACAAAACTGCTGTCCATGGTGGCTGTCTGTGGCACAGACCAGCTATTTGAAATTTATGGATATTCGATGTACTTACTTATTATATTCAATATGAAAATCTCTACAAAAATTATTTTGCCTAAATGCATGTAAGCAAATGGTAAATTTCTTGATTATGTAGTTTGAAGTATGAAACGTAACCACCCGGAGAAATTCCTCCGTACGCCCATGGAATTAGGTATGCCTCTGGTCAAAAGCAGCGTGTTTAGAATGATGACTCTATAAACATGCCAGCTCATGAAATCTAAGATGGTTTCAAGCGAACTATAGCTACGTTATATTGTTTATAGTTGACTTATTTTGCTGGTAGCGAAGTATTTATTCTAGGTGCGGATGTATCTGATTTTTGTTCCACATGAAAGTGTTTGATGCTTTTCTAGGTACCTGTAATCTTCTAAGTGTTCCAATGTCTCAGAATCCGTTGCTACGAAAGTAACATTCATCTCCAATCCTCCAAGGTTAGACCTGCTCAACATCGCGATGTCTGAAAACGTTGTAAATCCTTGTGTTGGATCATAAGTACCAACAAAATTTTCTAACATTTCTTTAGTATTTTCCCCAATTCTGTATACAGATCGCGTCATATATTTATCATTAACTTTTGTCACAGTATACACTCTACTGTCAACTCTGAAGTAATACCTATACAGTTGGTCATGCGTAGGTGTCCAAAGAATAAATCTTATGGGATCTCTGAAGAGGTCGCTGTCGTGAGCCTGAAATTTTATGATGATTGCCAAGGTTTGAAAGAAGAATCGTGATAAAAAAACCAGTACCAAATATTTTCAAAAATGTCAGTTTGTAAGCTTTAACTGACAGGTACAATACAAAGTATAAATTTTCGAAAAATCAATGTAAAAACTTTGCGGTTAGTTGTAAAATGCACAGTATAATTTTGGAAGCTGATGGAGGTGTTCTTTCTTAGACTGTTTGGGCGCCACATACTTGTTTCAAAACGTGTTCACTTCCAGCACATTTCATGTCTAAAAAGTACAACTGATGTTGTTCTTCTTTGAGATCATGTATCAAATCACTTTTGCTCAGCACTAACGTTGGATAATCTTCTGACAGATTTTTCCAAAAATGAAACACCCTATCTGAAATACGTAAAATCACCTGTACCTTATATAATAGTCCAGTTATATAAACTATCAAAGAGGGTCAACCTCAGAATGAGATACAGTAAGGTGTAAACTTGTAGAAACCTGTATTTTGCCATTCTAAAGGTTGTCATAAAAGTCTCATGAAATCACGCGGTCAAGGTCACAGGTCACAAAAATCTGCTTTTTGCAAAGATATCGATATGAGTTACAAACTATTTGCATTTATTCTGAATATTGTACAACTTAAAAAAAACGATTTTTATGACGTTGGCGATTTGATATCTTAAGACGCGGACACCATATTTCCCGAAACTTTCCAGACCACTTTTGGCATGACAAAATAGTTTTCTACGAGCTTACAGCTTATTATTTCTTATTCCGAGGTGAAACCTCCAATATGACTGCATCATAAATGTTTTGAACGTACACGTTTCAAGCGAATGTTGTACAAATGTTTTAATCTAAGGTTTGAGTATTGAAAAAATTAAGTGTAATATTCTAATCTCTGTATCCATAAATATGCTTACCTCTCGGCCAACATACATAAGCAACGATGTTCGTAGATACATTTTGCTTCATGCAGAAGTCTTTGATGAAAGCATATGCGTCTGATGCGTCATGCTGAATCGAAATTCTAAGAAGAACTTGTAGGACAAGCAGTGATTTTAAGAGCATCTTTCTAAGCAAAAATGATCGATGTTTCATGGTTTATAGTAGTTTCATCAAGGAATTATTCATATAATCCAGTGGTGGCATCATAGGAAATTTCTGTTTTTTTTTTCGCTTAAGTAAATAGTGAAAAATTGTAGTGTTAAAACTTCATTTCAGTTCGATGCATTTTATTTAAAAAAATGGGTATAGTCAAAACTACATAAAAAAATTGCCCCCAATGATATACAAATCTCGATCAGTCAAAATTAAAGCATATTGATTCAAGTCACCTTAGCCAAATTTCTACATCGATGGGCCGCCCCTAGGGACCCCTATTTTCACAAACGTTGTTTTCGAAATCAATTTCTAATTTTCAATTCAAATATCCAAAAAAATGTCCGATGCTATACTGTAACATCCTACATAATCGCGACTTTTTGTAGATTTATGAAACTTATATGTTAGAGGATAAACATTTTTGAAATATTCTTCAGAAAAACCGCATTTTCACCGATTTTTTACATTTTTAATGGGATATCATAAATTGTATAACTTAAAAACCCAACATAAATATATTTTTTCGATTCTTTTGGATTCCATAATTAAAATTTCGGTTTGATTCCCGGACAAATACTAAAATGGGAAAACCGCATTTTCACTTAAATTGGCTAAGATGATTTAACCCCATATACCTTAACTTGGATTGATAAAGTTCGTATACCTCTGCTGCAATTGTCACATGTAGTTTCGCCTGTAGCCTGTATGAGGATCCAAAGTCTGAGTCTGTATATCAAAGTCACATTTTAGTGGGACCAAAAGAGGAGATAAGATAAATGTATTCACATGGAAGCAAATATTACAAAGCATGAACAAAGGAGCTTTTTGAAGGAAATGGTTTGACAAGTCCTGAGTTTGTTATAGAAGAACTACTAGATCTACGTGATCCAGCTTGCGTACGTTTTGTTTCGTATTTGGACAGAGAGCTTGATAATGTAGTGAACTGGGTATTTTGAACTGACTTTTTTATTCATCCCTACTCCACTCTTCTCAATAGCCTATAATAGCCTGATAATTAAAATCCAGAAATAACTAGACGCTACTATAATTATGGCTATGGGACTGAAGCTTACCTATTGGAGCTACTTGGCGAGTTATTAGATTTTAAATGAATCATGTTGAACATACATACCTCCTTCCCACGTTTCGTTAATAATATAAAGTGTAATTATATGGATACTGCGGTGAAACAAGTAATTATGGGGACTATTCAAACGTAGGAGCTGCTTTTAAAAATGGTGAATGCGCATAAAACTTTAGGAAAGGCGTAAAACAATCAGATCAAGTAGATTGACTATGCGATTCTAGTCATCGTTCGTCACTGTGTGTTAACTTTAAGTTATTTGATTTTAGTATAGGTGTTGGAAAAGGTGGTCAATAACGAATAAAAAAGTAAGTATTTTTAAGCAACTCCTAGACCCCTATTAGACCGGGAGGCATTTTAACCCTGTGGTATAGGATTCGGCACCAGGCTTAATTTTATTGGTCAATTTCAATTTATTCAACCAATAACAAGCCGGGTGCCGAAATCACTACCGGAATGTTAAACAGTGCTGAGCATGGGGTCAGAAAGTTATCAATTTAAATTTAAATTTACTAAAAATACGTAACGCAGGTTGTTTCCTATTACGATATTTAATGATTTTAAAATTAATAATTTGGTTTAGCAATAAGAAAAATCCCATGAAAAATTTAAAATTATATATTATAGAAAATAACTGAATTTAAAAAGAATGCAAGGAAATGTAAAAATCTAAAAAATCATATACTTTTTCTGGATTTTTGTATAAATAATCCGCGGGTGGAAAAGTGGTATTTTCCTCCCATGTAATGTAAGAAGCTAAATTCTAATATCTATACACAGAGTGTATTTTCTCATTCAAGTACAGCATTTATCATTTCAGGGAAGAAATTATCACTTTTCGTGAAAAGGTAGTAGAAAATAAACATATTAAATGTGAATGTTTATTGGTCCGTTCAAAAATAAACAAGAGAATTAAAAAAACAAGAATATTCAAAAATAAAAAAGAAAATTCGAAAATTAACAAAATAATAATGTAATAGGTTTTAGTGACCTGTTCCATAAGACTTAGCATTCGGTAAATTTTGCTTTACATTGAGTGCTCCTCTTTCTTTTTCTTGGTGCGCCTTCTTCCTTTGGTGGCCGACCAATCGGTAACCTTTTGCAACCCCTTGTAATCCCTACTTATTTCAGGTCAGTCATGAAGGCAACCTCCCCGACCAAAAAACTAAATTAACACACAAATACTCCAGATTTTCCTTAAAAATAATTTCATCAACTGATTTCCTCTTTTGAAGTCAATATTTTTTCATCAAATTAATATGGGACTACCCCAGAGGCATTTATACCCTTTCATTTAAAAAATAATTATCATAATCGGATAAGCCATCTTGAAAAAATCGGTAAATACACATAGAAAAAATTATAGCTGACGAATTGAAAACCTCCGTCTTTTGGGAAGTCGGTTAAAAATATATTTTGCATTCGTTTAAACAATATTATGCCCTTCGTGCGCCTTGAATTTTCGAAGTAGGTATTCTGAAAATTAGATCTAACCCAAACAAGAACAATCTAGCTCGAAAACATTCAAAAAAATCTAGCTCCAAAAATAAAAAAGCTACGGTCGTGATTAGAATCAAATAAATAGTCCTTTGCAATAACAATACCCTTACCTATATACAAGGCGACGCGGATTTGCGAGACCACATTTGAATCGCCAAGTTGTAAGAGTTTCTACCTCATAATCTCTCAGCCACTGCATAGTGCCTTCTTCGTCTGTAAACTTTCCCCTGTATATATTGTTTTTTATTTTAACGCAACCTTCCATTGTTCTGCTCAACTCGAAACGTATTAAAAACGATGACGCTTGAACTTTGAGGTTATAATATCTAACGTATACTGCGTAAACGATAAAGAACTTCCTTACGCATCGGCGACCTTCGAAATTCCGAACTGTATTTCGGTAATCCTCAACATTCGGGTAGTGATTTCAGCACTCGATATATGTATTAATAGAGGCAATTTAAATTGATAACATTCTGACACTGTTTTCAGCACTGTTTAACATTCCGGTAATGATTTCGGCACCCGGCTTGTCATTGGTTGAATAAATTGAAATTGACCAATAAAATTAAGGCTGGTGCCGAACCCTATACCATAGTGTTAAAATGCGACCGGGAGCTGTGGGCAAAAATGGGGGGGTCATGTGATACAGCAGGAAACCTACTCAGAACTACATGAAAAATTAACTTCTAGCACAATGCCGTCACTTGAGAGCGGTACATGTAAGTACAGGGGAAAATTGAATTTTCTGTCCAGAAGGGGGCGGAAAAGACTAAATGATTTTTTACGGCTTTCTTTAGTATCACAGATTCCAACAAAATAATCACGATGCACTTAGTGCCGTACGGAAATAATGGTGCCGGAAGCACATACGGCATTGTTACAGTTACCTTCCAACTAAGGAGGCATGAAAAAGTTGCAATATTATTTTCAGCAAGAAGAAGACAGTACAGCCACACTTACCGAATTAAATAAAATTCAACTTGCTGTTCTAAATAATTGTACAAAAAAAAAACTGGTCAAATGAAAATTACTAGCTTTTTTACCAAATAATTTACGGTTTTTACACATACCTACACAGTACGTATGCCTGTAATACGTGTATCAGATTCTGAAAAGATGCAAATTTCAAAATTACGTATAACTTTTATGTATGTATCTTTATTTATGTAATACATGCTAAACAAACACATTTTAAGCTCTTAATATGTTATTTCTGCTGCTTTTTCACATTAAAAAAAGTGTTTCTTTTAAGATGGTCATCCGCCTATAATAGACTATTTGTCACAGTCCCGCCGAGTCCATTATAAGCGGGTTTACAATTTTTTGAAGAAATTGTGTATTTCCTGGCCTAAGACTGCTATACGATATCGTCCAAAAATAAATCTGCATCCATCGGGGTAGACGGTGCGACAGGCGACAACCGCAGCGGCCTTGTGGGCTGTAGACACTTAATAAAAGGCTGTCTACACAACGACGGCGCGCAACCGAGCCATGTGTTGGAATTCGGAAGAATTATGCGGCCAACGGGAAAAATTAATTGCGCTAATTAGAGATGCGGTGATGGGATGCAGGAAGGAATTCCTCAAAATCGGTCTCTTTCAGGTTGTGAGTTGGACGAATATTTTTACCAACCATATTTTTCCTATGAGACGGTACTATGCCCGTATGCACCGTTTTCAGCCGAGGTTTTAAACATGTTTGTACAACAATGAAACTACTACTTAATACGATTCATGAAATTTTATAAAATGAAAGTATCAGATATGCAACAGTCTTGATATCACAATAAAGATCTTTTCGCGAGATCCCGTAGTGAATGGAGCGGGTACAGATAGAATTGTCTCTTCCTCTCTAAGTTTTGACAGTTTCAAGATACGCCGGGAGTGGTTAGATGGCGCATGTTGCTCAAAATGTTTGCTTTAAGCTCGTTGCTAAGCTTTGCTACCTTCTTTGAATCTGAAATAAAAGGACCGATCTTTTTTTTGTTCAATGCATATATATATATATATATATATATATATATATATATATATATATATATATATGTGCATGTGTATATCAATAAAATCAACCGTTTGATATGACAAGTGCGGATCTTATATCTTCGATGACCTTCTCTCTCGTCATTTAAAATCAGGGGAAACTGTTCCTCCATCTATGATTTCATAATTTAACTCAATTGAGATTTGAATGACATTGATACAAGACCTGTTACCCGCTAGAACCTCACGGCCGTTAGGTGGTTACCCGTATCATTTGATTTTTTCACATTTGGAAGACGTCACATCTGTCTTCCCCTATTCTCGTTCTTCGCAAAAGTTTGAGTATCAGTTCCCGATACTGCGCTACGCCGTGGAAAAATCCTTAATAAAAACTTACA